TATGGAAATAATTAAGAGTGTGTACCAAACATTTATTTACCATAGCAACCACTTATTCTACCGTCGCTTCATTTGAATCTGAACAAAACATCGTTGCCTTTGTAGCGAATAGAAGATACCCTTATGATAGGTCAATACCAAAAAGTGATATTATCAAGTTGATAGAATCTGATATTTCACTGGCAAAAATGTAATAAAGCGTATATACGACATCACTCACTATGGAGCAATGATAACGTGTATGTATTAACCTTGAATAGTCAGTGTCTGCATCTGTATCAAAATGTATTTTTTTGTAAACTCATCAGCTGAAAATCATAAAGTTAATAACACAATTTGAAATTGAGATGCTTCTGTTTGGGCTTGAAGATTATATGATCAATGTATTATCGTAATAATAATTACCTTGGCGTTGGCCCAATTATCCGTGACGTTTATGAAAAGGTAACAATCACTTTGGTATCGGTGCCAGTCGACGGAACATGCGTCTGCCAACGCTGAAACAAAAGTCATTTGTTACTTTTTATAATATAACACGATCTCATCTGTTACTGTTTGTAATATAACACGATCTCATTTGTTACTATTTGTAATATAACACGATCTCATTTGTAACTATTTGTAATATAACACAATCTCATTTGTTACTATTTGTTATGTAACACGATTTCATCTGTTACTATTTGTAATGTAACATGATTTAATCTGTTACTATTTGCAATGATATATAATTTCATTTGTTACTATTTGTAATATACCAGTATTTCATTTGTTACTATTTATAATATAAAACGATCTCATTTTTTACTATTTATAATATAACACGATTTCATTTGTTACTATTTGTAATATAACACGATCTCATCTGTTACTATTTGTTATGTAACACGATCTCATCTGTCACTATTTGTAATTTACGAGGATTCCATCTGTTACTATTTGTAATGTAACACGATCTCGTCTGTTACTATTTGCAATATAACACGGTCTCATCTGTTACTTTTTGTAATATAACACGATTCCATAATATCATAAACTATTTGAAATGTAACATAATGTAATCTGTTACTGTTTGTAATAGAACACGATCTCATATGTGACTATTTGTAATAGAACACGATCTCATATGTAACTATTTGTAATATACCACGATCTCATCTTTTACCATGTATAATATAGAAAGATTTCATCTGTTACTATATGTAATATAACAGGATATCATCTGTTACTATTTGTTATATAACAGGATCTCATTTGTTACTATTTGCAATATACAAATATTTCATCTGTTACTATTTGTAATTTAACACGAATTTATCTTATACCATTTTTAATGTAACAAAATTTAATTTGATACTATTTGTAATATAAGAGGATCTCAACTGTTACTATTTTTAATATTACACGATCTCATCTGTTGCTATTTGTAATGTAACATATTTAATTTATTACTATTTGGAAAGGGTGGTTTGTACATTACGTCTGTGCAAAGAACATAAAATGCAGACGTGAAGAGTGGAGTATGTATGTCCTTTTTGAATTTGGCCATGGCATTTGACGTTCTTATAGCAGATGGTAGGCTATTAACGTGACCGAAAGCCTCCCAAAACCATAGGGTGTTTATTTCGTACACCGACAAGTCATTGAAAAACAAGCATATGTATGATGCAATCTAATACAGTTTTGGTTACTTGTATATTTTGCCAAATTTTTAAGGTGCACAAACATGTGTGTGTGTGTGTGAAGTTCACCTTAATTTTCTGTCTGGACAACATCCATGAAATGTGAAACTGTGAAGAAACCCAGAGGTGTAACAGTGATCGTGAAACAAGATCAACAACGTCAAGTAAGATTGACTAAAGGGCAGTAAAACACTTAACATTAATTAAGCAATGGATGTTTTAGCAAGTGTTGTTATAGGACAATAACAATATTTGCTAAAATATTCATTATTTATATTTACATTTTAATAGAGTAATTATGCTTTATTTAGTTATTTCGAACAGTTTTTCAACAGCAAATCAAGTGTTGACAACAACGAAATTGATGGCGTCACAATAGAGACTGATGAGGTTACGATAGCAAATGTTGTTACAGTCTCCTAACAACATTTGCCTTCGAAATGCATTACAATGGAAGGCGGCAGAGCAAAGGAAATACATAAACATAAACACTTACCTTGTAGCAGAGCATAAAGCAAATACAACAAAATGTCAGCATTCATTTTGACGACAAATCATCACCAGATGCTGCTTCGAAATCAACAGAATTCTACCTTCACAACAAAGTGATGTATAGTTCAAATATAGATATACGTTAACTGCACCATTGTCCCAAGTGCCAGTTCATAATGGATATGCTTCGTTGTCTTTTCCATAAAACTTTCATATCGTTGACTTAAGGTTTTGTAGACCTATGGGTCTCGCTGATAACAAGGATTGGAGCCTCGATAAGTAAGCTAAACTCATCTACCACAGAATTTATATAATAGACTATTCCAACCTTTGAATTGGAAGAGTTCAAATGTGTCTTCAGGGGTAAATGAGTTCATTCGTTCCAAGCAAAACTGCCCGAATTTCTAAGACGTTTAAATAACCGAGACTTATTTGCATAGAATAAAAAACACATATATTGCCTAAATCACATGTTGTGTAGTGGTACAAGTAGGAAAGGTGTTTTAGACATGTTCTGTTAGCTCTACAAGATGACAGGACACAGGCATTGGGAAAATACAAAGCATAGTAAAATGAAAATATATTTTTCTAAAGTTCGGTAGCTTTCTCTACCTCCTATTCCGCGACATTTTCAATACAACGATGACCCGGAAAAAATCATATCGTGTACATGTCCATCGGTGACGTGGGTCCTGATCATCATACCATGTCCATCTGTGACGTGGGTTCTGACAATTATACCATGCCCATCTGTGACGTGGGTTCTGACAATTATAACATGTCCATCCGTGACGTGGGTCATGACCATTATATCATGTCCATCTGTGACGTGGGTCCTGACAATTATAACATGTCCATCTGTGACGCTGGTCCTGACAATTATAACATGTCCATCTGTGACGTGATGTTGGTCCTGATCATTATCCCATGTCAATCTGTGACGTGGGTCATGACCATTATATCATATCCATCTGTGATGTGGGTCCTGACTATCACNGACCATTATATCATATCCATCTGTGATGTGGGTCCTGACTATCACACCATGTCCATCTGTGACGTGGGTCCTGATCATCATACCATGTCCATCTGTGACGTGGGTCCTGACCATCATACCATGTCCATCTGTGACGTGGGTCATGACCATTATATCATGTCCATCTGTGACGTGTGATCTGACCATTATACCATGTTCATAAGGGAAGTGGGTCCTAACCATTATACCATGTCCATCTGTGAGGTGTGTCTTTACCGTTATACCATGTCTGTTTGGAACGTGGGTCCTGACCAGTATACCATGTCAAGCTGTGACGTGGGTCCATGATGATAATACCATGTCCTTTAGGGACGTGGATCCTGACCATTATCCCATGCCCATCTGTGACGTAGGTCCTGACCATTATACCATGTCCATCTGTGACGTGAGTGCTGACCATTATACCATTTCAATCTGTGACGTGGGTCCTGACCATCACACTATGTCCATCTGTGACGTGGGTCCTGACCATCTTACCATGTCCATCTGTGACTTGGAACCCGACTATTATACCATGTCCATATTGACGTGGGTACTGACAGCATACCATGTCCATATGTGACATGAGTCCTGGCCATTATACCATGTCCATCTGTGACGTGGGTCCTGATCATCATACCATGTCCATCTGTGACGTGGGTCCTGATCATCATACCATGTCCATCTGTGACGTGGGACCTGACCATTATACCATGTTCATAAGGAAATTGGGTCCTGACCATTATATCATATTCATCTGTGATGTGGGTCTTGACCATTATACCATGTCCATCTATGAGGTGGGTTCTATCGTTATACCATGTCTGTTTGGAACATGGGTCCTGACCAGTATACCATGTCAAGCTGTGACGTGGGTCCTGATGATGATACCATGTCCATTAGGGACGTGGGTCCTGACCATTATCCCATGCCCATCTGGGACGTAGGTCCTGACCATTATACCATGTCCATCTGTGACGTGAGTCCTGACCATTATACCATGTCAATCTGTGACGT